GGGAACCGATTACTGAGAAATACCCTAAAGATATTTCATTATACAAAGCTTGATCGTGCACTTAAAAGGGGATTGTGTTTCCTGAATGAGGTCTGGTGGAAAGAAGGAGACAGAAAGTCTGTTTTTATGGTGAAGCCTGGGAAATGTGAACTTCTAATACGGATGTCTCCACTGTACCTACCTGCAAGCTTGGGTCCAGTTAAGATTTTTAGCACTGGCAATGAGAACAGTGGTCACAGGTACTTAGAAAAAATGTGAGTATTTCTGGGTATCCGTTTGTGAAGAGTTATTTCATTGGTACAATGAACCGAACACATCTCACAGCTTCTTTCAAATTATTCTCTCATTTTTTATTCTTCTTCCTGTTAAATAATTACTCCCCACAGGAGGCGGGTGGCAGATATCGAGTGGTTCATCCGTAACGGTGAGAGCACGGCGATCCCCCTCCTGCTCAGCTGCGACCAGAGACATCTCTGGCCACAGGGATGAGTCCTGCTGAGCAAAGCTGCTCTCCTTCCACCTGCAGAGCTCACTCGGCCTCAGCCTTTATTTCAGAGAAAAGAGGTTTTAAAGTTAACCACACATCTGGTGTGTTCCCAGCATGAAGGGTTGCCTTTCCCCCACCCACACGCTCTGAGAAAGTTTTTCCTGCCCTTTCATTGCCCACAATGATCCCTCAGAAGGGCTGGCTGGAGAGAAGTGCTCCCACATGCCTGGTGACATTTAAGCCATGTGGCAGATCCCTCTGCGCTCGGGTCCTGCTCCCACCCAAGACAATAGCAGACTTTGGTGGGTGAGGGATGAAGCCCAGTGTGACATTTTCATCCACCCCACGCTTCTTCGCTGAGTGAAGCTTTTGTGAATCGGCAGAGGCCAGAAAAACCCTGTTGTTCCACCTGTTTCTGTAGCCCCCAGTCCCACGTGGGACCCTGCACTGCAGTGGTGCGTATCTCCTCACATGAGCCTTTCCCTACCAACAACGGAACAAGCTCCTGTGTCCTCCATTCAGAATGAACAAAACCACAATAAATTCAGGTAAAACATGACTTTTGGACAACAGAATTTTGTTGAATGCTCCTGAGACCTTATTGCTCTCTACAACTCCCTGAAAGGAGGTTGTAGCGAGGTGGGGGTCGCTCATTTCTCCCACATAACAAGTTATAGGACAAGAGGGAACAGCCTCAAGTCACACCAGGGAAGTCTAGGATGGATATCAGGAAAAATTTCTTCACAAAAAGCATTATCAAACATTACAACAGGCTGCCCAGGGTATTGGTGGTATCGCCACCCCTGGAGGTATTTAAAAGACGGGTAGGTGTGGTGCTGAGGGACATGGTTTAGTGGTGGACATGGCAGGGTTAAGGTAATGGTTGGACTCGATGATCTTAAAGGTCCCTTCCAACCTAGACAATTCTATGATTCTATAAGCCATAATATCATCTTGAAAGCATCCTTCCCATGGGGACCGGAACACCACCACAGGAAAAGTTCACTGAAGCAAGGTCTGACTGGGAATTCATTATAAAAATAACCTTTTATAGTAATTCACAGAAACCAAAGCTTTGTTGAAACTTCCTGATTTCAGACAAGTTTTTATCAGAAAAGTTTCTTTGACCCAGATGGAAATTTTCAGTCAAAACCACAGCAGGCACCACCTGCCTGTCCCAGAACGATGACAACAGCCCAGCCATTGGGTAGGCACCCTCTTTGCAGCAGGAAAGCACAAACATACCAGTTGAACAGGTTTTCTGAAGTGTACCTTATCCCCTCAGTTTTAAGGACCTCCATTCTATTTCATCATGGGAAATTTTATTCTCCAAGGATGGACAGGAACACCAAAAGAAGGATGCTGACAATGAGAAAACACCAAAAAGAAACTGTTTTCTAACTAGCTCAGGTTCAAACTCGTCCCATTTAAACCTACCTCTTTCTGTATGATGGCAAATATAGTTCAAATTCAGCTCAGAAGTGGGACTTTATGTTAGACAAGACTTCAACGAACTTTTGCAAATGTGAACATTTTTGTCCCCTTCTGACCTGCTCATAACAATAAATACATCTGTCTTCACAGGTAAGGGGTGCAAAAAACCCCCCCAAAATCTAAGTCATCATTAACCCAACTTCTTCATGTATGCAACCTGTGAAAAATCGCCAAATCCATGATAATGTGGCATAAAATAGTTATAGGAAACTGTTTAGGATAAGCTAGAAAAACTTATTATAGCTTATTACTGCTGTCACTCCAATAAGAGCTAACAACCATCATACTCCCATCACATGTCAATATTTCTTGAACACACTCATTATAGTGGAGTTGGCCAGGCTTGCCAGAAGAATGCTCTTTCCTCACCAAATCACTCCTCACAGTGATATCCAAAACTGAAATGAGTGTAAATGAGCACATGTCAGTTAACACGTATCAGATATTTTCATTATATGTGCTATTTAAGTGGAGTATTTTATATCATGATCATTTGCTCGGTGAAGCAATAGAAGTGTTTAACTTCTTGTAGATCTCTGCTGATGCAGACTTATCTTTTAAATGGAATTTATTGTAAGAAAAATAAACATCGTCCACAAAAAGTTTGCAGATGAACATTCATTGTCTCCCCTTCAGCCGCAATAATTTAATTACTGTTAGAGATCTTTAGATTAAAAAAACCAAATAGTATGAGCCTGCTTCGTGACTCAGCCTATTCTCATTTAGTTCAAAATCAATCCACACCCAAAGCATCACTGATAATTTTATCCTGGGAATAATCAGCGCTGATAATAGTGTTTGGGGGTACGCTGAGATGTTTATCTTCTCTCGTTTAGTCATTTACCTATAAAAGCCCACACTACCTTTAACAACAGGCACGGCACACGTGCAACCTTATAGTCACCACGTGAGACAGGAAAAAACATCATCTGGCTGGAAAAGATCAAGTTCCTAATTCTATTGTCACTGATTTATGCTTTTCCTCTGTACCTATAGATAAGTCACAGTCTAAATTCCTCATACATGCTGCACACTGGCTTGACAGTTGGTATTTACGCACTCATTTTAAGAGGCTTAATTTACTTCAGCTCTTCGGTTTTCCACCTCTACCTAGTAGAAGAGGGAATGGAAATGACCGGTAGTATTCATAAAAACCCTACAGACAGGCACATCCCTCCCTGTGCCTACACACACAGCAGCCCAGGCGCTGGGAGCCTTGTCCCTGCAACACAAACCTTGTCCCCCTTCCACCTTCTGCCACTCTTCTCCGGCCACGCTTCCTTCTCACTCCGGGGATGCAAAGAAGGTTTTCACCCACCCATCCTACTCGATCCACTCTTTGAAAGCTTCTCCTCTCCGGGCCTGTGCCTATTGGGTTGGCACGTTACCAAAACCCACTCACAAACGGCAGATTAAGTGGAAACACGGCAAAGAATGTCAAGCATGTATTATACTCGCTCGGAGTTCAGCCTGCAACTTTTAAGAGGAGGGCTGCCCTCCAAACAGGCAGGCCTGGGAATTGGGCGGCCGAACAATTACAGATGCGAGGAAAATACCTTTCCTCTGAGAAAGGAACGTGGTGATATCCTGCAAGTCTGCAGCAGGCTAAATTCACCCCGCGCCCCGGAGGAGCTCGGCGTGGTCTGTGCTTTCTCGAGACCTCCGTTTCCACCTCCAGCACCGTTCTCCCAGGGAGTTATATCGTATTAACTGGAATTTTTTCCTTATGTCAACCTCTTAAAGATGCAGGAGCGGCAGACTGTAATCCTCTCCATTCACAAGCAAAACAGCCCCGCTGTACCCATCTGCTGTTCTGCCTCAAGATAGGAGAATAATGAGGCACTCGATTCAGCTCTGCAGATTCTCAGCCGTCGTGATCAGCTGGACAATGAGACGTCTGGTGGTGTGCCTGGATACATGGTAGTGACTCGCGTCTCCTCCACGGCCTGTGCTGGCTGCCTGGCCATCTTTATCACGGTTTAAAGGTCTGGTTTGAAAAGAAGCCCTGTATACGGCATCCAAGCAAATATACTCCCCACACAGTTTCCAAACCTGCCCAGGAATGGCCCAGCCCCACTCCAAATGAATACGCCAGCAAAATCACCCCCAGCTCAGGTGGGTGCAGGAGAAACAATGCTGAGCTTCAGCACAACAATCCTGCCCACCTTATCTGAGAGTCCCTTTTCTTTCCAAAACCAATCCGGAATGTTTGCACAGGGTGTACAAAAAAGAGTAAAAAGAGACTCTCCCACCCCTGATTACATTAAACTTGATGCATACATATTATTTTTTTTAAAGATTTGCTCAAATTACTCTAGCTCGTTTGCCCTCTGCACAGCTCCACTCCGCCAGTCAACTCAAGAGAATTAAAGATCTCAGCCTACAGTCCAACAAAGTGCTTGAGAACGAAGGACTAACGGATGGGAAACACGTCCCATCAGCCAGGACTGATGTTCTCAAGCCCACATGATGCTGTATGCACATCCAGGAATCAGGAAAGGTGGATGGAAAGCAACTCCCAAATCAAAAAGTGGAACATTTCTGCACTCCACTGTTCCTTCAAAAAACACGGATCTCACAGTTGGCTTCAGAGAACTTTTTTCTTACTGCATCAACTAAAAGAAAAGAAGATGGACCTGATTTATAATCTTATACTGACTGGTTCAAATTCCTCCATAGTTTATCAACCCTGAAGTTAATTAAAAAAATGTGACTCTCTAGTGTAATAGGTTATTTTCAGCTTTAACTACTCTGGGCTCATGACTGGCTCTGGAACTGCAACAATCACATGAAAGCTAAGATTGATTATTACCGTCCAAAGACATAGAGTAATTAAGCCTACTGAAAAGAAATAATTACTTCTGTAACAGGTGGGGACAAAAGAAAACTGAAGGGAAAAAAAAAAGAGCATTGAAGATATTAATACATCTGTTCTGTAACTGAATGTCCTTCCAAATAAGTAACTGAAATGAGACTGAAAGTGCAACCCAAGTACAGTACAAATACAAGAATGTCTGCATTGAAATTCCATAACTTTTCTTTATTCACTGTGATACATTCAAACAAAAGTGCTCCAGAAAACAGCCATAAAGTAAAGGAAATTAAAATAAAAAGGCAGAAAAAGACCATCAGATACATATGGTGATTATTTATACTTCAAAGCATTAGTAACTGCTTGTATCTGAGTGCACCAAAAGCCCACGAGGGTCCATGTTTTTGTACGCTGCACCTATAAAAATAATAATCATAGGCAGCTCTAGCAAAAAATGTTTTTCAGAACTAGAGCCAAAGCCATCACAAAGATAAAGCACCGTCAGGCATATGTTTACAAATGCCATAGTAATTAGTAGAGTGTAAAAAAGGCTTAGCTGAACTAACATTTTCCTTGTAGAGCACAGGGAACCTCTGCTCAGATTCATTCCTTCCCAGCTCTGCCATTTCACACCAGGGACTTGCATTTGCACCACAACACCAAGAGCCAGGGGCAACTCGGTGAGCTCCAGGAGACAGTGAGAGACGGGTGGAAGAGAAACTGGAACCAAAGCCAGCGTCTATCCTCCTATTTAACAAATTAATATTGGTATGGCAGCATGTACTTAGCCATGTTGCTGCAATAGAGTGGCACAATCCACCTGAGGAACACTGTTTGTACAGCCCCCATTGACTTCCCAATGCTGGTTGCTGAGCTATGAGTATTCGGCTGGACTGATTTTACCTACAAAAGACAGTTCTTGTTTCAAACTACAATTCTGCTACAGTAAAAATGTAAGTCACTGATATCTGTAAGAGACAGCAGAGCATCCCTTCAGAGAAAACTCAAATTGCACCCTACAATGTGGCTCTACTCCAGCTGCAGAATTACTGAACTGTGCATTTGCCAAGAATTATTTATACCTCAACAATTTGATGGGGGGAGGATTCCTACCCCAAGCAACGCAAGAAACAGAAGTCAAGATGCTGTACAAATTACACTGTCAAAGGGATGCGACAGAGAGACACTTATTAACTTAGGTTCCCTCAACCTGGTGTATTTTTAGGTAGAAAAGCATGGATCTTCAACAAAAAGGGGGGAAAGCCAGTTGAATCCTTGTCCTGCTCTCCCCTTTACCTGCTTTGCAGGCAGCAATTCAGCTGGCCAGCAAGGCCCAAGAGAGGCTTCCCCTCTGAAAATCTGTGCTGCTGACATGAGATTTTCCTTAAAAGACCTAAGTAGGTCATAAGAGAAAAGAAGCCTCTGTCCCCATACACATTCTAAAACAGTATATCCATAGGGATCCTGCTAGGTGTAAGGCTGTGCCCCAGCTGCTATGAAGATTTAAGCCCACGTGTTTTGTTTCCCAAAGCGGGATGCAACGGCGCTGCTCGTATGACCAGCATCATCTTCACAGTCAAGTCCTTGCAACGTCAAGGTCTGTTTGCTCAAAAAGCATTTTGCTTAACTATGTTACTAGTAAAATCTCAAATCACCCAGACCGAAGGAAGGTTAGAAGTGTTATGCAGTTATTGACCCTTCACGCTATTTGTGTGGCATTCATCTCCCACAGCGCATGCCTTGCCCTTTTCACACTCCCTTTTTCATGCAGGAACACAAAGCTGTAATGTTTGGGTTGCAAACACCATTAAATGCCCCTCTTCAGCCCCCAACAGCATAGAAATATTTTCTTTTAAAAGTTCACATCAAAGCATTTCTACTAATCCTAGGATTTATTAAAACAAACATCGTAGGCATGAGATAGTCAACAGCGTCCCTTTTGTAAGATTCTTTGGAGACGGTTCTGATTTCGTACTGTTTACTGATCCGCCCCTAATTAATCTTCAGTTGCTCGGCTGCAAATTCAGCAAGTCCCACCTGCTCCTTCCCCACCCAGCAGACGCTCCTTTCTCCCCAGTTTCGAGCTGTCATGACAGCACCACACAGCCCCTGTCCTGAGAACAAGGTGGCTTGCTGGGAAAGCTCTATATTACATCCCGATGTTACAAGCTCGTATCATACACATTTGCAGCAGAAGTCTAGCCTTTCCTCAGATGAGTAATTAAAACCAGTCATTAAGTGCTTTCAAGGAGTGTCATTGTCTTTATCCTTCCCTGCAGTCAAGGTAGTTGCCTTTGATCCAGTAACAGATCTGTGCGTATTTGAGGGGGGTGATGCGAACAGCTACATTGAAATCCTGGGGGGTGCCATTCATGTCCACCCACTGATGGCCTGAAAAGATTCCAATAATTTTACGCTCCCATTTGTGATTCTGCCTCTTCCACATCCTGACGTACACCCCGGACCCGCTCGCACCCGGCTGGGCGTCGCACTGCTGGTACAACAGGTCATACGTTTCATCCTTGACGTCACAGAAACGGTAAACCAGGTTTCCTGGTCGGTCGTTGTCGTAACCAGAGAAGTGAATCCTCCCTCCAGGCAAGTGTCTCGCTGGTGGGCTCACACCTATCTTCATAAACTTTCTTTTATGGGGCTTCTTGAGCTCCAGCAGAGCATAGTCATAATCCATGCCAATGTCATTGGCATTGCCTTTGATCCACCCTTTGGGGACATGTGTCCGTTTCACTCGGATCCACTGGAATTTCATTTTCTCAGGCATTGCTGAGTTGGTGATATTGGCCCCTTTGCTGCCATCTTTCAGTTTGGGCTTTAGGAACCCCACCCGCAGTTTCTGAGCTCCTTTGACGTAGCTCTTGCCATCATGGATACAATGAGCAGCAGTAAGAACGTGCTTTTCAGCCACTAACGTCCCCGTGCAACCTGTAGATAGCTTCACCGATGTGGAGAATGGGTAATTCATCAAGAAGTCCTTCCCAAAAATGCTAAACCTACTGTCATAGCCATAGATCTGCCTCTTAGTTCGAGATTTGCCTTGAGACCCATCACCGCTGTTGCTCAGAATATATATGCCCACTTCAGTTTCAGTGAGGCTACCATTAGCGTACAAGGTTTCATAGGACAGGTAGTTCTTCACTTCTTCATAAGTTGGCAGCGGAGAACTTTTGTGGCACTCTGGGCCACAGGGAGATACCACTTCCAGTCTGGCTTCAGCATCAAACTGTGGTTTGTCCAAGTTAAGGGTAGACCGTGGCAGGATAACTGGGACTCTGTAAGACGGCCAAGTTGGCTTCCAGTGAGAATTGGAGGGCATCACATCTTTAGCAGCACACAAAAGGAGGATTAAAGTGGACAAGCCTGCCATTCTGAATGCTGGTCTGTGGAAAGCAAAAGGAAGTCCGGTTACTCACCCAAATATGTTGCAACATTAATTTACTTTGCAAGGTAATGGCTTGCTAACTGAGTTTATACAATACGGGTCAAGTGATTTGAATGGAGCCAATTATCATTAAGTATTTCAGATTTCTCAGTGTTAAACTAATGCCTTAACCTGTACCTTGAAATAAGTGTCCCAGGTTAACGCTGAGGTTCACCTCATCGTGAGGTCCCAGGTTAGCCCTTAGCTGTGCTGAGCCACCAACTCCCAGTTGACACCAGTGGAAAGTTACGGTGTTTGTCTTCACACGGTGTAAAGAAAATTCGGCCCCTGGGTAAATCCCTGCATTCAGGAACCATAGCTCCTGCAAAGAGGAAATGTGTCTGTCTTTAGCTGGATTACAGCATTCTCTGAAAGCTCCCACCTACTCCCTGACTCCACTGAGAGAGGTCCTTAAATGACCTCACACCGTTTGCTGTCTTTGCCAAGAGACATCAAGCTGATGGTAGGAACAGGCAGGTGGACAAAGAAGGTGACCTGAACAGGAGCTGGGCTGCAGAACGTGACCACATGGGAGATTGGCTTCCCCTTGGTATGAGCTGTAGCAGAGGAAGGTCCCTGCTCCACGCAGCATCCACTCTCCCCTATGCTCACATGAGAAAGCGCGATACGATCACACAAGGGCAGCTAATGAAGTAAGTTTACAACTCTTGAGGGAATTTTCAGTTAACGTACTGGCTTATTCCTTTATAAACTCAATTAATTAGAAATGCAAACCAACCCCCTCCTGAGCACAGGGAGGCAAACGGGACTGTAAATGTGTTTATGAACCGCAGGCAGAGTGCCTCGGACTGCAGAGAACAGCGTGCACTAGTACTGTGTCAAGAAAATGTGTGACTTGGGTTTATTTGAAAATTAGCCATACAGCTGAATCGCTGCAGGAGGCATCGCGCCCTGGGCAAGAAGGCAGGCAGGATCTCCCTCACACAAAGATTATTCAAACAAAACTTCGTAATTATGTTGAGCTTACACATATTTAAAACCCTGCTGAGGTTAAACCGATCACAACTGCAGGATCATTCCTGAAATACCTCTACTGAGGAAACCAAAGCAAATCACGCCAGAGATGACCACAGCTATCTAAGAATAAAAAAGAAAAAATTCTTCTCTCCAATACTTTTTGTAGGAATACTCCATCTTTAAGCTGAACCAAAAAAAAAAAAAGACTTCTGAAGCTACAGACTGCTAAAGTCCAAAGGTGTCCAACTCAAATATTGGGTCTGGATTCTTCCATTGTTGGTAGCATACTCTTTGGGAATGGAGGCTATAATTAAAGCACACAGTGTTCAAAATATCAATTGACTCATGCAGGATATCAAAACATTGCCATCCCAAGAAACAGACACAGGTGAACTGATGTTACTGGTACCCACAGAGGAAGGTATTGACTCTTCCAGTAGTGACCATTCTGCTGGTAATTTTTTCACTAACAAGCAGGACATCTTTAAAAGAACTGATTTTTTTCTAGAAGGCTTAAGCTTTATAGAACGTATTGCTTTATACCTAAGAGGAAAGTCATGCTGGAAAACACAGGCCATTTCAAACATGAATCATAATTGCATAATTTTGGATGTCCCAAAATTGGAAAAGACTTGCTTATATATTCAAGGAAAACCATCAGCCCCTCTGGCTCCTTCCATGGCAGAGATTAATATTTGATGTAGGTAGGTTTTTGCAAGCTATCAAATGAGACAGTCTCACTTTGCTATAAGGATGGCCCAGGGAACACTTGCTGCATATCAAATGTAGTCATAGTACAGCCGTGATTAGTAAAACATAGAAAAAGAAGGTAAAAGGGAGAAATGATACCACTCCATCCCCACAAAGACGACACACACTAGTGTAAGTAAACCGTTAGCTCTCCTGCTTGTGACAGTGAGGACTGTACCCAGAAATGTTTACTGGTCTCCCAGTTAGAAGCTGAGAACAGATTAAATCCCAGTTATGCTGCGCATCAGGGAGCAGATCCCATCATTAAGAGCAAGTATTTATAAGCAGTCTGCTCTCATCTGCTTCACACCGAAGTTATTCCCACAAATTACATCTGAAGCTTTCCTGGTAGGTGGAATCTGTCTAAATTGCACCGCTTACGCCACTTCTTGGATCTAGAAACCATTCATGCGAACCGAGCCAACGCTGCCTTTGGCTGGTTTATTTAACTGGCAGGGGGAAATTAGAAGCGTCTTGTCAGTAGTTATTTGCACCAGCAGCAAGATTCCCTCCTGCCCAGCAGCCCAGAGACCTGATGAAGGGACTTGATGTCCAACAGTTTCCCTGCTTCCTCCCTACGGCGACGCTTCCCAAGGCAGCTTCAGACAGCAGAGGGCAGCCGCCCGATGAGGAGAAGAAGACAGGGGCTGGGATTGGAGCTGGTCCCCAAAAAAGGTTTCAGCAGATCGCTGTGTGTGTCTGAGCTGTGCTCTGTTAAAGCAGCACTTACTCCACATCTTCCCACACCCACATTGCAGATACAAGGGATAAAAAAAAGCTTATTCATCAGTTATCGAACATTTCCATTATTTAAAATGTTATTAAAAGCTAACAATAAAATACAATTCTGAGTTTGTACCTGACCATAGAAGCTAAACAGTGCTCACGAACTAATAAGTCTTTGCGATTTTGTCTTATCTGGAAACACAACTGGTAATAAATCAGTTCTGGGCTGCAATAAACAGAATAAATATATCTTATTTATAACCAGATGCCAAATTAGAACATAGTACCTCTTTCCATGTAGATCCTTCCTCTTTAAAAAATAAAGCGGTTAAGCAGAAAAATTAAGGATTTTAAAAAGTAGTCTAAATTTAAAGAGAGACCTACCAGTTAACCTCTTCTGTCCTTTTCCCTTCTCTTTCCCTTTTTCTTTAAAACAAAAACAAAAAGCTGCAAAAAAACAGGGTCAATGCTGTCTTATGTTCAGCTATTTACTCCTGGGTGACCCTGAAAGATGTTCTCAAATTGAACAAACCAGTGAGAAGGGAGTTCTTCCCCGAGCAGCTATCCCAAAACGATACTGAATGAATTACGATGTGCTGCTCTACTGTAGCGCTGCTGTACGGTCTCTATTTAAACTCTGTCATAAACTCAATCCACCCTTTGACTCAGTACAAAGCCCTGCTCTGATATCCAGCCTAGGAACCCCCTAGAAAGCGGTTTGTACATAATCACACTTGCTAATGGCATTAAAATTGTTTAGAGAATGGAAACAGTGACAGCTACCCCGGGGCTCCCCACGCCGCTAAAACGCTTTACAGCCACATTTCCCTGCCTGCTCCGGGCATTCACGCCTTGAGATAGATGTTGGTGAAAGAGAACTGCCTTGTTCAGGACGGACATGAATCATTTTCTAATAAGCAAGTAATTTTTCTGGAAGAGCTCACTACTTCTGGGGTGGTTCTTGTAATAGACGCTTAAATAACAATAAATCTTGGAACACACAGTATGAAAAACCCGTGAAGCGAACAGTCTCCATTACATTTTGAAATGAAGAAAGTTTTTCCACAGTGCTGGAAGCCAGAATGGCAAAGAGAAAACCACATTAAAAAAAAAAAAAAAAAAAAAGAGAGAAGAAATAGAAGGAGGAGAGTAAGAGAGAAAAACCTGCCTCAAACCAAATTATAAAGGTGAACTAAATCACTGTCGTGCCAAAATACCTCGGCTGCTTTCCTTACTCCCAGAACTTGTTAAAACACAGCAAAAAAATGACTGAGTCGCGCTTGAAGAACGACAGAGAGAAGCCTCCCTGCCCCTGCGCTCGCAGGTCTCCGCCAGCCCGGCCGCGATGCTGAGGGGGGTGCGGGGGTCCCGCTGCCCTCCCCGCCGGACCGGGGGGCTCCAAGAGGAGACCCCGCACAAAACCCGAAGGCAACTTTGCTACCGGCGAGCCAAGGGTGCCCGTGACCACCTATACCGGGCACAGCGGGTATTCCGACACGCGTGTCAGTGACACAGAGGGAGGAAAGGGCTCATGTCATGCGTTCACCGCTTAGTGCGATCTCTACAGATAATTTTACAACCTCCTTTCACCCTTTTTCCTCCTGTAAAGCAGCTCCGGTTTCACTGGAAAGCACTAACAGGCAGGCAGCGACGGGCAACCTGCAATAGAGAGGGGGGCGAGCTGTAAAGCGAGGAGCTGCGTGCCCACCGAGCCAGCCGGGGGATGCGGGGCAGCGGGGGCTGCGGCGGGAACCGCACCGACCCCCGCCCGGGGCGGGAGGCCAACGACCGCCCCAGCCTCCCGCAACCGCCCCCCGCCAGAGACCGGGGACGGATCGCTTAAAAGAGGGATTTCTTAAAGAAAACCCCCCAAATACCGCGGCGATGAGCCCAACCATAGCACCGCGGCGGTTCCACCGGAGAGCTACTTCTGAACGACTCCCAAGTCGCAGCAAAGGCGATTTTTTTTTTCTTTTCTTCTTTTCTTTTTATCAGCTGTTTCCCTCGCCCTCTCCAAGTTAGTCACCGGCACCCGCCAGCGGCGGTGCTGGCCGCCCCGGCCGGCGGAGAGAAGCCGCTTTTATCCCTTTTGTTCGCCGGCCGCCGGAGCGGCGGCGCCGGGTGCGCTCCCGTGGATGCCAACCGGGTTAAAAATTAAGCCCTCGGGAGGAGGGTTCGGCCGGGAGCCGGGACAGCGGCTCCCGCTGCCCCCCGCACCGCCGGGGCTCCCCCCTCGGCTCCGCGCCCGCCGGCAGGTGAAGCGCTGGCCCCGGGGGCACCCAGGGGACAACGGCCCCTCGCCATCCTCCCCGCCGCCCCTTTGTCCCCCCCGGGAGGGGGGTGACCCGCACCCTGCAGCACCCTCCCGGCACCTACCAAGGCTCCCCGCGGCGGCGGCGGCGTCTCCGGGAGCCGTCAGGCAGGTGGCGGGACCGGTCCC